GTATGTATGTATGTATGTATGTATGTATGTATGTATGTATGTATGTATGTATGTATGTATGTATGTACTACTCGAATGCATAAACTTCCTGTGGAATGCTCTGTTCATTTTAATGGTGGTGTTTGAAATTGCGAAATTTTTCGTATCAGACAGGATAATATGTTTGTTTAAATGGCTTCTGGCTTACAAGGCAAACCTCTTACATGAAAGTGATTCAGTTCCATTTCAGAACGCAAGAACCTCGGAGGCAAAGTCATCAGTTTGGCTTGCAAATCCTCGCCTTCGGTTCTAGTTTAGAAAGTAATAAATTTCGTATGTAAACATTTGCGGCCGTCATAAAAATTGAGCTGCTAGAAACGAGTAATGATTCGTTTTTTTATTCATCGTCAGAGCCATACGAGTAAGAAAACGACCGAATGACGATGCTGTACTCGCAGCTGTTCAAATTCATGTATAAAGCGCTAGACGGACGATTCAATGACATTGGCAGCGGCTTGATCTCAATTAACTTATGAGTCAAGTCAAACTAATGACTAGACCAGACACTTCGTGCCTACTTTTCAGTAATTTGTGCTAAAAAAGGGCAACAATGTGTACATAAGTAACATTCAACTCGGCATTAAATTGATGCATTCCATTTTCTATGGTTCAGAAATGCGAAAACAGCCACTGGTCCGTTTAGCCTTCTTGTAAACTGCGAAATCGACTGCTTGGTCGGAAACCGTTCCTTAGAAGTTTCTGAAAATTTCAACTTCTGCCGTTGCCAAACATCAGACAGTTTAGATCCTTTGACCTAGAAGCATCTTGGGACACACCGAATTTCTGAAGTCTCTTTGCTGGACTGGACAACTGCTGTCTGTCACAAGCGCAGTTCCGGATCCAAGGCAGTCAGAGCGAATAACTCACATCCGGAAATCTCTCAAGTCGTCATGCCATCTTGGCGACTCATTCAACTGACACTGGCTCAATGTGTGTTTCAGTGTTTGAAAAAACCGATTGACCGTCGATTTATTCAAACGTGCAAATCAGTGGCAGTCTGGACGCGGGCGGGATGCCAACACTACCACCCGAAAGGCAACCATT